GTTACGTAAATGTTAAAAATATAGCTTACCACAACTTTTGTAAAGTTTCCAGTGCCACTGGGCAGCCGCAGCAGTATCGATCTCTGAAAAATGTCCGCGACACGGACTCCGTTGTTGTCTGGAAGTTTTTTTTTCCAAGTTAAGAAAAGAGGCAGACGTGTTTCCTAAATCCTGCATCAGTCCAAGCAAGGCAACGTCTTGCTGTTTTTATTCCGTTTTAGTAGCCATTAGCACTGTGCATTGTTGTGTGCGTCAGTGATATTCGGTATATGAGGAAATCGTGCAATGACAAAGGTTCCACCGTGCTTGAAATGCAAGCTGCGATTAAATGCGTTAATTTTTTAACGCGTTATTTTTTTCTAATTAATTAATCGTAATTAACGCATTTAAGTCCCGGCCCTAGAATATATATGAACCCAGGTAGCAGTTTTTCTTTAGGATTGAGAGGAAATGCAGGAAGATAATAAACAGGCAGGAAAGAAAAATAGTCAAATAAAAACAAGTTAGTTTTTGTTCCTGTTGGTTGCAACAAACAGACACCATTGAAGGTAATCAGAAGTGAGGAACAGAAAATGAAATAATTATTTTAATGTTTAGAGCAGCAGGAACTCAGAGAGGCTGCAGGCGCATCAGTGAGTTTGCGGCCGCTGCGCAGGGGGAGGGGGGAGAGGGCTGAAGCAGAAACTACCGATGTTAAAAGAAATGTGTTTAACTTTGAAAATGTGGGCGCAATTTTAATTGTCAAAAACTCCAGCGAACCATTAGTTCATTTTGCTCAAGTAGAAATTGTGGCCTACCTCTAATTCTGGTCCTCTTTCCAATAAAGCCCTGGAGCTTGGTGAGCTTGAGTCAAACACAGGCCCGGGCCTGTATTAGAGGATTTACGGTATATATACGTATGTATATATATATATATATATGTATATATATATACAAACTCACTGATGCGCCTGCAGCCTCTCTGAGTTCCTGCTGCTCTAAACATTAAAATAATTATTTCATATATATATATATATATATATATATATATATATACAAACTCACTGATGCGCCTGCAGCCTCTCTGAGTTCCTGCTGCTCTAAACATTAAAATAATTATTTCATATATATATATATATATATATATATGTATATATATATATATATGTGTGTATATATATATATATATATATATATATATATGTCGTCGTCGTCGTCGTCGTCGTCGTCGTCGTCTTCCTCCGCTTATCCGGGTCCGGGTCGCGGGGGCAGCATCCCAACTAGGGAGCTCCAGGCCGTCCTCTCCCCGGCCTTGTCCACCAGCTCCTCCGGCAGGACCCCAAGGCGTTCCCGGACCAGATTGGAGATGTAACTTCTCCAACGTGTCCTGGGTCGACCCGGGGGCCTCCTGCCGGCAGGACATGCCCGAAACACCTCCCCGGGGAGGCGTCCAGGAGGCATCCTGACCAGATGCCCAAACCACCTCAACTGGCTCCTTTCGATCCGGAGGAGCAGCGGTTCTACTCCGAGTCCCTCCCGAATGTCCGAGCTCCTAACCCTATCTCTAAGGCTGAGCCCGGCCACCCTACGGAGGAAACTCATTTCGGCCGCTTGTATCCGCGATCTCGTTCTTTCGGTCATTACCCAAAGCTCATGACCATAGGTGAGGATTGGGACGTAGATCGACCGGTAAATCGAGAGCCTGGCTTTCTGGCTCAGCTCCCTCTTCCCCACGACAGATCGGCTCAGCGTCCGCATCACTGCAGACGCCGAACCAATCCGCCTGTCGATCTCCCGATCCCTCCTACCCTCACTCGTGAACAAGACCCCGAGATACTTAAACTCCTCCACTTGAGGTAGGACCTCTCCCCCGACCCGGAGGTGGCAAGCCACCCTTTTCCGGTCGAGAACCATGGTCTCAGATTTGGAGGTGCTGATCCTCATCCCATCCGCTTCACATTCGGCCGCGAACCTACCCAGCAAGAGCTGAAGGTCAGAGCTGGATGAAGCTAGGAGGACCACATCATCCGCAAAAAGCAGAGACGAGATTCTCCTGCCACCAAACTCGACACACTCCACACCACGGCTGCGTCTAGAAATTCTGTCCATAAAAGTGATGAACAGAACCGGTGACAAAGGGCAGCCCTGGCGGAGTCCAACCCTCACTGGGAACAGGTCCGACTTACTACCGGCTATGCGGACCAAACTCACGCTCCTCTGGTAAAGGGACTGAATGGCCCTCAACAGAAAGCCACCCACCCCATACTCCTGGAGCGTCCCCCACAGGGTGCCCCTGGGGACACGGTCATAAGCCTTCTCCAAATCCACAAAGCACATGTGGATTGGTTGGGCAAACTCCCATGCCCCCTCCATCACCCTTGCAAGGGTATAGAGCTGGTCCACAGTTCCACGGCCAGGACGAAAACCACATTGCTCCTCCTCTATCTGAGATTCAACTATCGATCGGACCCTCCTCTCCAGTACCTTGGCGTAGACCTTTCCAGGGAGGCTGAGGAGTGTGATCCCCCTATAGTTGGAACACACCCTCAGGTCACCCTTCTTAAAGATGGGGACCACCACCCCGGTCTGCCACTCCCTAGGAACTGCCCCCGATGACCACGCAATGTTGTAGAGACGTGTCAACCATGACAGCCCTACAACATCCATAGCCTTGAGATACCCAGGACGAACCTCATCCGCCCCCGGGGCTCCGCCGCTGTGTAGTTGTTTGACTACCTCAGCAACTTCTGCCCCCGAGATCGGACAGTCCATCCCCAGGCCTCCCAGCTCTGGTTCCTCCTCGGAATGCGCATTGGTGGGATTGAGGAGCTCCTCAAAGTATTCCTTCCACCGTCCGACTATAGCCTCAGTTGACGTCAGCAGCTCCCCCTCCCCACTGTAAACAGTGTGAGCGAGTTGCTGCCTTCCTCTCCTGAGGCGCCGGACGGTTTGCCAGAACCTCTTTGGAGCCGATCGATAGTCTTTCTCCATGGCCTCACCAAACTCCTCCCACGCCCGAGATTTTGCCTCGGCAACTGCCACTGCTGCACCCCGCTTGGCTATCCGGTACCTGTCTGCTGCCTCCGGAGACCCACAGACCAGCCACGCCCTGTAGGCCTCCTTCTTCAGCCTGACGGCTCCCCGAACCTCTGGTGTCCACCAGCGGGTACGGGGGTTGCCACCACGACTGGCACCGGCCACCTTACGACCACAGCTAGCAACAGCCGCCTCGACAATTGCAGAGTGGAACAAGGCCCACTCGGACTCAATGTCCCCCACTGCTCTCGGGACGTGGTCAAAGCTCTGCCGGAGGTGGGAGTTGAAGACCGTCTTGACAGGTTCTTCTGCCAGGCGTTCCCAGCAGACCCTCACTATGCGTTTGGGTCTGCCAGGTCTACGCGGCATGTTCCCTTGCCATCTGATCCAACTCACCACCAGGTGGTGATCAGTTGACAGCTCCGCCCCTCTCTTCACTCGGGTGTCCAAAACATACGGCCGCAGGTCAGATGATACGACTACAAAATCTATCATCGACCTGTGACCTAGGCTGCCCTGGTACCAAGTGTACCGGTGGGCATCCTTATGTTCGAACATGGTGTTCGTTATGGCCAAACTGCGGCTTGCACAGAAGTCCAATAACAAAACACCGCTCGAGTTCTGATCAGGTGGGCCGTTCCTCCCAATCACACCCCTCCAGGTCAAGCTGTCATTGCCCACGTGAGCATTGAAGTCCCCCAGCAGGACAATGGAGTCCCCTGATGGAGCACTATCTAGCACTCGTCCCAGGGACTCCAAAAAGGGTGGGTACTCTGAACTGATATTTGGCCCATAAGCACAAACAACAGTCAGGACCCGTTCCCCGACCCGAAGGCGCAAGGAAGCTACCCTCTTGTCCCCCGGGGTAAACCCCAACACACAGGCAGAGAGTCTCGGGGCTAACAAAAAGCCAACCCCAGCCCTCCGCCTCTCACCCGGAGCAACTCCAGCAAAGTAGAGTGTCCAACCCCTCTCCAGGTCTCGGGTTCCAGAGCCAATGCAATGTGTCGAGGTGAGTCCGACTATATCTAGCCGGTACCGCTCAACCTCTGCCACAAGCTCCGGCTCCTTCCCCGCCAGCGAGGTGACGTTCCATGTCCCAAAAACCGTCACTCCTCCTTGAACCGTCACCTTATCGTGGTGGAGGAGTTTGAGTGCCCTAATGATCCTAGGAGCTATGTTGTCTGGGGCACTTAGTGCCCCTGGTAGGGTCTCCCATGACAAATTGGTCTTAGGTGAAGGGTGAGACAAAGAACGGTTCGAAGGATCTTTCATGGCGGTGAAAACGAAGAGTCGGAGTACCCGGCCCGGAGGGTTACCGGGGTCCCACCCTGGAGCCAGGCCTGGGGTTGGGGCCCGTGAGCGAGCGCCTGGTGGCCGGGCTTTCGCCCATGGGGCCTGGCCGGGCCCAGCCCGAACCGGATACATGGGCTCGTCCAACTGTGGACCCACCACCCGCAGGAGGAACATGAAGGGTCCGGTGCAATGTGAATCGGGTGGCAGACCAAGGCGGGAGCATTGGCGGTCCAATCCCCGGACAAGAAAAACTATATATATATGTGTGTATATATATATATATATATATATATATATATATATATATATATATATATATATATGTATGTATATATATACAAACTCGCTGATGCGCCTGCAGCCTCTCTGAGTTCCTGCTGCTCTAAACATTAAAATAATTATTTCATATATATATATATATATATATATATATATATATATATATATATATATATATATATATATATATATGTGTGTGTGTGTGTGTGTGTGTGTGTGTGTGTGTGTGTGTGTGTGCCTTCATCTTTTACCCTTCTTGTGTGAGTAGAATGATACTTTGTCAAATCAATAATGTATTCTTTATGAAAGTTTTTATTGTTGTTCCAGAGGCATTTAGCAAAGTTTCCGCTAGTCGCTTGTCAGTGATGCTTTCTTTTGGACGCAGGGTGTGTTTTAAGCACCAACTCAGACATCCTCTGAAGGGAGGGGCTTGGACTGGTTTAGGGTTTATCCGAATTAGTGGAGGAGCGTTTGCAGACTGGTTCCCCCTTTCCTCTCCTCTCACACGGATCCGCAGCTCTACTTTGTCCCGTTAAGATCCGCAGGTAAGCAATAAAACTTCTGGTTCATGAATTCGGTTTGGTCGGAAACGACGAAGGCAGGTTGAAAGTTGGACCTTTTAGAATTTTGTTTTGCTGATCGTGCTTTTCAGAGGAATTCTTGGCCGCTCCTTCTTTTGTGCGTTTTTTTTTTTTTAGATTCCAAACAGTCGCATCACAGGCGCACTAAATTAGAGCTTTACTAAACTTTTCTGCGCCATGGCGCAGTTGGATGTGCGTTCTTCTTCCGCACAATGCACAAAGGAGAGGAGGGCATGTGTCCGGCCCTGCTTTGATTCTTATCGAGCAAAGTATGTGTGTGTGTCTGTGGGGGGGGGGTCCAAGGGAGAAACAGCTTCTCCTCTCCAGCTCCTGATGACACTGACTCGAAGATCTACCTGCATCACTTATGCCAAAATGTTCACCTGACAACTTTTTATTTCTGCAGTGGAAACAAAAAAAATGCACAGGCCATATACTCCTGTTTCTGAATACCTCCAGTCCACAGACATCCCAGCAACCCTCCCATCACATAAATGAATAAATAAATTAACATTAATAATGAATGATATGGTCTGATCCTGATGACCATGGGTTAAATAGGCTCTGAAAGTCAGCTTTGTTCCACACGAGTCTTTAACACCACTGGTGTGTTTATCTGGGACAATCTGCTGATTTGGTGGGATTTTCATTACAGGGTGTAAATGTTTTATTGTGTCATCGAGTGCTTTAGGTTTGAAATTGTACCATTTGGAAGTGTAAAATGGTTGACAGCAATCACAAACAACATTTCACATAGCTATAAAATCTAGCACATTTATATTATCCCACTGTAAGAAAAGATCAAAAACTAACAGCTTATCTCTGTTTTCATCTAAAGGCAGTGCAGGGACGTTTATGTAAATGTAGAGTTGTTGTGTTTATGGAGCTCATCCACCAGTCCTCTAAACTCTTTTGTTTCTAATAAACAGCTGAACAAACTGCTCCCTTTCTCATTGTTGTCCTTTATTTACTAACTATGCACAGCTCCAGCTTGCCAAAAAATCAGCTGCTAGGTTTTTGAAAGGTACCAGACACCAGGATACTATTGCACCAGTGTTACCGCTCTGCACTGGCTCCCGGTGAAGTACGATCAAAATGTAAGATCCTGCTTTTTGTGTACATGGCTCTTCAGGGCAGTGCTCCCTCCTACATTTCTGCACTTTTGCACAGGCATGTCCCCTCGGTCTCTACGCTCAGCTGAGCAGGAGTTGTTGGTAGTCCCCCGCTCTAAATACCGATCAAGGGTGATCGTGTAATCTCGATTTTGGCTCCAACTCTTTGGAAAGATTTGCCATTGAGCGTTAGGCAGGCATCATCTCTTCAAGCCTCTAAGCCTTACTTGAAGACGCACTTTTATTTGGTAGCCTTTCCACATTAGGGTTCATGACACTGGCTTGATATTAGGGTTTATAATGAAGCCCATTTTAATTTGTTCTTATTCTTGTCTCTTGTTTTATTAGACAATCCTCATCTTTTGTTATTTTACTGTCTTTTATAATTTTATTTATCTTTTGTTTTTACTGTTTTATGATCTCATGATCCTTATTTTATGTTTTTTATGATGTGTTTCAACACCTTGGGCTTCTGATAAGGTTGTGGAAGGCACTTTTTAAATAAAATAAAATTGACTTCATTTGAATTGAATGTCTTCCCTTGCTCTTATCTGCCTTATGAGCTTATTTTCTAACACTTTGCTATTTTATTTGCTTGGTCCATTTAATTGCTAACTATACGCTTCTTCAGGACCTAGCTAATACTTTGTTTACTTCTTTTTACCCTATTTTACTGTGTAGCAGTGTGGACCTGTGCTGGGCATTTGAAAGTGCTTTATAAATAAAGTTTGATTGGATTGGATTTTTTGGCGCCGTAGTGACTAAGAAGGTCAAGTAGGCTGTGAAGTAATCGAAGGGTTGCCAGTTCGATTCCAGGTCATTCTTAGCCATTCTGCCATTGTGTCCTTTGGCAGCGCGTGTTCAGGCGAAGTCACTTTGAAAAAAACATCAGCTAAATGCATAAACAAAACATTAGCTAAATATCTGTTTCCTTATTTGCTTTTTGTTTCCTTAATTTGTTCTTATCATTAATGTGTTCCCTTATTAGCTAACCCTCTCTGGTAACTCATTGGTGTTATTTTTGCTCTCTGTTCCCTTATTGGCTGTTTCACCTCTGTAATAAATACATTTAATAACAAGGTTTTTATTTGTTAACACCATAGTTTTGGGACAAATGCAGTCACTTTCTCATTGGTGACATTTTGTTTCATTTTTTTCATTAGTCATTTGCTAATTATTGTTTTGAGGTGATAGCTGTCATTTGTATTTTATTGTTTAGGACCTGCTAATACTTGTTTAACTTAAATAAACAGATGTGAGAGTTGCACTTTATCACCACTAATCAGGCCGAAGATTTAAACCACGGATGTGTGAGTTGAATTTGGCTGCACAGAAAAAACTATATGAATGTGAGTGCGGGTGTACCAACACCTTTGTTCTGCCACCGGAAAAAGGAAAGCACGATGAAGTCTTCACTCCCAAAGCGTAGAACTCACAACAGCTGACTCATTATGTGAAGGGACGATATAGATGGTACAGTTTCTTTTGTAGTTTGTGATTTTACACCCATTTTAATAACTGTTTTGCTTCAATTATGCCTTAACTTTGGGAGTGCCTCATCCCAATTTTTGTAGACTATTTCATGTGTCTGAAGCTATTTCTATACCGAGCTTAGCAGAAACTGCAGACTTTTATGCCTAAATGTATGTAGTACTTTCTACTTAGTAGGGATTGTTCAATTGGCACAATGTGACATGGGGGCAGAGGAATCTGGAGGTAATTGCACAGAGTGATAACAGAGGTTTGGCAGTCAGTGTAGGGTGAGAGCCAGGGCCAGGGTTAGGGCTGGGCAAGGCAGGATGTAGGGAACATTGCCATGCATTTCCGGAGTCTGATTCTGGCCTGAGCGCGCTGCAATGACGGCTTCTTGTTATACTCGTTTGTTGCTTCAGCTCTCCTCTCAACTTCCCTTTTTCTCGCTATGTTGCACTCTCTTTAAAGTTAAACGCTGAATTCAGGAATTATTTCTCCTCATTCTAATTACAATACAAAAATCCTGAAACACAGCTGTGTGTTTACATGTAGCGCATGTGGTTACAGTTTCTTCATGCTGATAATCTAAATACAGGCGTTCAGCTTCCTTGTGAGGCAGCCGCACACGCCGAGTTTGAAAACAACAGAAACCTGGCTGAGGGAAGCTTCCAACACTAATGATTGGAATATTTTTGTTATAAATAGATGCATACCTAAACTTTGTTGCTTGTGATGGTCCATAACCTAGTGTGAACACATAATTACTTGTGAGTCTAAACACACAGGTGCCTGAGCTACGTTCTGGTTTCTTCACACAACAGACAAGTAAGACTATATAATGCTTTTTTATCTGAGCTGGAGATTTGAAATCCACTCCCGAGGGCTTGTTTGCCAATTGTAAATTGAAGAGCATGATTTATTTGACCAAGCTGTAATTGACATGCAGCAAAGGCTTATGGAATGGTGGCCCTGGACCCAAGGCCAATCGTAGAGTCATTTAAACTGAATCTGAGCGCTGGTGCGACTGTTTGAGTATGTAGAAGTCAACTGGAGGAGAAAGTGGCAGAACATAGCAGGATTTGGAGTCTTATTTCCTAATATTTGGACATCTCACCTCTGATTGGCTAACATTAATGCAGCTCTACCAGTCAGAAAACCAAAGTGAGTATGTAAGCTAACGAGTTAGCCAAACTACGCTCGCATTCCGGAAGTGACAAGACCACGGAAGCGGTCTTCTGACAAGACCATTGTCACAAAGCAACATGCGTAACACCATAAAACGGGACAGCATGTACCAAATAAGCTGTGCTGCCTGCCTCTTTTTACTACTTGTTTTGCTATAAGCTAACTAGAAGATTGGCGACGACATTAAAAGGGGCATGTCGCCACCTACTGTACCGGAGTGGAACAAACTTTATTTGAGAGGCTGGTTTTTTAATGCGCATGCAAAATAGGATAAAGACTCCCAGCTTATTACAATAAGATAAACCTGGATTGACTTGGATGTTGGTCAGTGCAGATGTAACCAAACTGACTGACTCTGTTTGCTCTGCAAAATTGATGTTTTATTGTCACAAATAACACAAGCCTCAAGGAGTTCTACTGTGTGGTGGAGTTGCTCATTCTAACAATAAGCTTAAACTAGTCGAGACGTCTGCAGCTGTTTCCTGGATGTTAAACCAACAACAGGCTTCCCAGTCACGAGTCAAGATGGGTGAATCCATGAATGTTAAGTGACATTGTGATGTAGGTCTGTCAGGGTTTTCAAATCCCAGCATTTCGCCGTCTAATTTCTACCAGAAGCTAATGCAGGAGATAGGTGTAGCAGGCTATTTTCATGTTCAGCCTGCATGAAAAGCTCAGTGACTGATTATAATCAGAAATATTAATTAAAAAATGTTTTTTTTTCAGTAAACCATACCTTTTTAAAAAACGACAGTACAGTCATTCAGAGTGCTCTCACTCAGCATTCACTTTTCTTTGGCACTCGGATCCTTTTGTCTCTTGGATGATGGTTATCCAATTTCTCCTGGCTTGTTATCCATTTACCACCAAGCTTACCCATACTTTGCAAAACCACACTTAGACAAATCTCCCAACACACTGTACATGCATGATGAATGGTATAATGGGCCCCTCTCCCAGAATCCTGAATCAGTCATGTGGGCACAAAAAGTTGTGTTTAAACTCTGCTGGGTTTTAGTCACACTCTGATGAAGAGGCCTTCTTAGATCGACCTCTCTTCTGACTTTAAAGTGGGATCCCTCCGAGCCAGATTGCCTAATGGGCAGCATGGTACATCAGTTCTGGTAATTGGCATATCGATTCGCCAGCTGCCAGCTGCCAGATGCTGAGCTCTGCCAGAGGTTTCACAGCTTT